TAAGCCAACGTACGGCAGTATGATAAGGTTAGTCATTTTCTCCAATCTCTGCAATAAATTGTCGGAATTGTCGGTGATTCAGCCCAAAAGATCTGATAAAATTAACAGTTGATATGACTGGTTTCAGAACTTCAGACATATCAAAACATTTTCCGCACAAAGACTGTTGATGAATGATACAATGTAAGACTAATGGTTTTGAACCACAGTCATTTTCTACAGCCTTTGACACAAGAGCTACCACTCCTTTATCTTCCCCACTCATGTTTTTGCCTCCATCAGTTGTAATACATTTCAAGTTTTTCCATCGAAGGTTCCTTTGATTAATGGCCATTTCAACTCCTTTAAAAATATCTGTACCAGTAGTTGTGCCATGAATACTATACACATCAAGAAGTTCTTCATGCACTTCATAGCTTTTATCTACTCCTCGAATATAAATCAACACCTGAGCAGTATCTGACACATCCGTTGACTCATCCAAGGCCAAAGAAAACCACTCAACATGTCCATTTGTACAGCCAACAGTTGAGAGGATATATTTTCAGCGATGTTTTCCACCCTTCGAGCCACAGTGTTTGCTGACATACTGACAGTTTTTAATAAATTTACCTTTTCAGGGCACATTTCTTCGGCTACTGCAATTATGCATTCTTTGATCATTTCTCCATCGGTGAAAGATTTTCCACGTTTTACAATTTCAAGAGCCGCACGAAAGCTGGCACGAGTTGCAGCCTCTTGTTCAGTTTTGAGTTTTGTAAATGAAGATTGCTGCGATTTCAATCCGCACTTCATAGCTTCGAATTTTTCTGTCCGCAAACTTCCTGTATATTTTGAGTAATTTCGAAAATATTTTGTTTCATAATGACGTTTAATGTTATATTGTTTGAGAACGGCTATGCTTTCATTGCAAATCAAACATAGCGCCTTGTTACTGGACTCAATTACGAAATACTGAATGTTTCACTGATCTTTGAATTTTCTGCATTCACTATCAATTTTTCGCATCTTTTCCATACTACTAAATCGCACACGAAAGCAGCAATTCAAATCAAAATACTGTTATAAAGATGTCTTAAACTTAAACACGCACAAACACGTTTCAAGGAGGTACGCACTATTTTATTTCACAACAGTGTCATAGGAACTGACTTGTGGTTGCGCCACTAGCCTTCTTATATATTCCAATTACTGCCATCTAGAAGTGAGTGTAAGACACCAGAACTTTCTCGAACCAACGAGATTATTCTGTACGTGCTATTAGCGCCATCTGTTAGCGATAGAAGGTACTACCTATTTCCGCTTGTGTCCACCAGATGTCTTGTCACGTTACTCCTCATGGCTCGTACTCTACGACTAATCTGGAAATTACAGATAATGACAGGAAAATTAATAATATGTAGTGTTGCCGTTTTGCGGACTTTAGTCCGATTTGCAGCCTTTTTTAAACGTTGCGTACTTTTTCGGACTTTTTTTTCATCAGTGGACTATTTCACTTTTTACCACCGGCAACAATGATAATATGGTTTTGGCCCTCGGAACTTACTGGAGTAATCAGTATGGCCTTAAGGCTGGAAAGTTTGGAGATCCCTGCTCTAGACGGAAGTTGTTCATATACTCTGATAATAAGAGCGCTTTTCACAAGTTAGAAAATTTTCTCAGTGGCATTCCTCCAATTTTATGCTTCATAATTAATTTGCTAATTACTCACAACAAGAATGGATTTAACATTTTGTTTTAAGTACCGAGTCACGTCAGCACACGAAGGATTGGGTTTGCTGATTCTGTAGCACGATCTGCAACTATTATCTTAATGACATCTGTATTATTCGCAGGCATTAAACGACGTCCGACAACATTATCACGTCCATTTGGCAACAACAATCATATCTTAAAATGCAGAATGAAATTTGTAACATTAAAACTGATTTGGTTCGTTTACCTGCATTGCATTTATGTAATGCAGATGTAAAACTTACTTGTCTGAGAATCGG